TATAATATGAAGCATATGATCATATTAGAGACCGATGTTTCAAATTTAGTTACATACACATAAAACGAAACCGAACCGCAACGAAAGAGCGGATGTTCTCATTATGAAGGGTGGAGTAAATCTATAAATAATGCAACGAGGATTGAAAGCGATAGATCCAAATGAGAGAGGGACGAAAAGACTCATCAAAATGCATTAGTATTCTATACACGAACAAATTCAGTCGAATCTAGACCATAACAGTGAAACGCTGGAAACACCATCAGTCATTACCAAGCTTCCAAATATCTTGTAATGTTATTCCAGATATTACATACTTGATGAATTCTATATAACTACGTCCATAAATCTAAACATTTTTCCCCACATAAGGTTTTTCTACCAAAATTTTCCAAGCAAAGGAAAGCAAAATCGACCTAAAAGTGGTCTATTAATATTTGTTCTAATCTGATGTAATATAATTTCTTCCTATCCTAATTATCTTATCTAACCTCAAGTCTTATGTTCTTTTCCTATTTGTCTATAAAAGCTTTTATCGAGTTGTAGACAGTTATCAGAACTTATAAAGTTCTGAGAGTTCTATTTCCGTTGGTTCTTTTACTTAGAGCAAGTTCCGAATCGTGTCTTAGTAAATTCTTTCATGATTCCTGTATTCTCGTTTCTTATCTAGAAAATACTTAGTTAGTTAGTTGTAGTTAGTTAGTTAGTTAGTAGTTAGTTAGTTAGTTAGTGTAGTTAGTTAGTAGTTAGTTAGTTAGTTAGTTAGTTAGTTAGTTAGTTAGTTAGTTAGTTAGTTAGTTAGTTCTTAGTTTCGTTCGTTCGTTCGTTCGTTCGTTCGTTTCGTTTTGTTCGTTTTCGTTCGTTCGTTCGTTCGTTCGTTTCGTTCGTTCGTTCGTTCGTTCGTTCGTTCTTTCGTTCGTTCGTTCGTTCGTTCGTTCGTTCGTTCGTTGTCGTTCGTTCGTTTCGTTCGTTTCGTTGTTCGTTCGTTCGTTTCGTTCGTTCGTTTCGTTCGTTCGTTCGTTCGTTCGTTCGTTCGTTCGTTCTTTCGTTCGTTCTCGTTCGTTTTCGTTCGTTCGTTCGTTCGTTCGTTCGTTCGTTCGTTCGTTCGTTCGTTCGTTCGTTCGTTCGTTCGTTCGTTCTTCGTTCGTTCGTTCGTTTTTCGTTCTTCGTTGTCGTTTCGTTCGTTCGTTCGTTCGTTCGTTCGTTCGTTCGTTCGTTCGTTTTCGTTCGTTCGTTCGTTCGTTCGTTCGTTCGTTCGTTTCGTTCGTTCGTTCGTTCGTTTCGTTCGTTCGTTCGTTCGTTCGTTCGTTCGTTCGTTCGTTCGTTCGTTCTTCGTTCGTTTCGTTCGTTCGTTCGTTCGTTCGTTCGTTCGTTTCGTTCGTTCGTTCGTTCGTTCGTTCGTTCGTTCGTTCGTTCGTTCGTTCGTTCGTTCGTTCGTTCGTTTCGTTCGTTCGTTTCGTTCTTCGTTCGTTCGTTCGTTTCGTTCTTCGTTCGTTCGTTTCGTTCGTTCGTTCGTTCGTTGTTCGTTCGTTCGTTCGTTCGTTCGTTCGTTTCGTTCGTTTTCGTTCGTTCGTTCGTTCGTTCGTTCGTTTCGTTCGTTCGTTCGTTCGTTCGTTCGTTCGTTCGTTTTCGTTCGTTCGTTCGTTCGTTCGTTTCGTCTTCGTTTCGTTCGTTCGTTCGTTCGTTCGTTCTTTCGTTCGTTCGTTCGTTCGTTCGTTTCGTTCGTTCGTTCGTTCGTTCGTTCGTTCTTTTCGTTCTTCGTTCGTTCGTTCGTTTCGTTCGTTCGTTCGTTCGTTCGTCGTTCGTTCGTTCGTTCGTTCGTTTCGTTCGTTCGTTCGTTTCGTTCGTTCGTTCGTTCGTTCGTTCGTTTCGTTCGTTCGTTCGTTCGTTCGTTTCGTTTCGTTCGTTCGTTCGTTCGTTCGTTCGTTCGTTCGTTCGTTCGTTTCGTTCGTTTCGTTCTTTCGTTCGTTCGTTTCGTTTTTTTCGTTCGTTCGTTCGTTCGTTCGTTCGTTCGTTCGTTCGTTCGTTCGTTCGTAGTTAGTTAGTTAGTTAGTTAGTTAGTTAGTTAGTTAGTTAGTTAGTTAGTTAGTTATTAGTAGTTGGTTTAAATTCGTTTCATCGATCCTGGTAGTAGTTTTGTAGTAATTTTTCTCTAATTTTGCTCTCTTTGCTTAATAAAAGTTAGAATTTTATTACAAATTTAAACGCATTCTCACCCACTGTTCAACATTTCAACAATCAAACCAGTGTTAGTAGCAATATTTATATGTTTAACAGTAGAAACCTACAATTGGAGTACAGAAAACTACAGTAATAATAGTGAAAAATAATATATTTATGTTTTGTATTTATGTATGTTATCAACTAAACTTTTCGACATGTAAGTCGTCGGAAGAAGTATATATATATTTACTTACGTTTCATCCATCCAACCATTCATTCGAAACATACTCTCCCACGTTGTTTCGTTTAATCTTAATATGAAGCTTTGTTTTTGGTAGTTTTTCTTTTTTATATGGTTGTATCCCTGCAGTACTAGTTACCTATTCCAAACTAAACAATTTGACATCTACAATATTATATGTACTTTACATGTGGTTAGTTAAGTGACTAACTACATTATATGTTCTTGTTTTATAATGAAGTAAATTGATTCTTCACTTCTATTACAAATGCAATTTGGATAATTTTATATTTACTATGGAATAAAAGAACTTGATAATAAATAAAAAGAGTTGATAATAAAGGATTACCTATGAACATTAAAGTGACTAAATCCTTGTTGCATTCAAAGATTCATACATATGTACATAAGTACTAAATGATTCCGTCAAACAGTTCGACCTTTTGGGAAAAGTACTATATAAAAGAGATAATTTGACTCCTTTTTAAAACGCTGGGTTAAGACGTAAAGGATACACGCTTATACACATACGTGCACACGCAGACAAAATATGACAACACGCATTCACGCAATAGTTTGTTTATTAGTTTATTTATTTTGATGTTGTTAGAGGTTTTGAAAATACTAAAAAATCCTTTAATTTTGATACAGTTATTTTTAGCCCTATTGTACGTTTGTTTGTTTTGAGGGGTTTTTCGATTAAAGTTTTTATTTTTTTAAAAAACTTCTTTTTGGTTGATTTTTTTTGTAATTACTATTGTTACTGTCTCTTAACTGCTGTTAAACACGCACAAACTGCTGTATATATGTATGTATGTTTGTGGAAGAGTGTATATGGACTTTAAATAAAAGAAGTTGTAGTTATTGAATTGTTAAATTTAACACTAATACCATCTTACAATAAATATGGTAGAGAGAATCCTCTGTACTTACGGCACTATTGTAAAATTCTCACACGAAAGGACTCATAAGTTAGTTTCATTTATTACTGTTACTTTTTATGTGAATTTATTGTTATTTTTTTAGGGGGTAATTTTTATGTTTTGAGTGTAAAAGTGTGGTGTGTTGAAAAGCTTTTAGATTTTATGAGTTTTAAGTTGAATTTCTATACTGAGATATTTTCTGTGGTAAAAGCTCTTTGAATTGTGATGAGATTTTGAGAGGATTTGAGTTTTATATTGCTTTAAAGGATAGTATGTGTATTTCTTGTAAGGTATAAATATATGTATGATTTTTTTATCATTTTAATGCCCGAGATATAATTCTTACTAACAAGTAATATATTTCGGTTTTATTTTACTTAATGCGAAAAAATTCATATCCCAATTGGAAATTTATTAAAATTAGAACTGAACTAGAACTGAACAAGAACTGAACTAGAACTGGACTAGAACTGAACTAGAACTGAACTAGAACTGAACTCGAACTGAACTAGAACTGAACTAGAACTGAACTAGAACTGAACTAGAACTGAACTAGAACTGAACTAGAACTGAACTAGAACTGAACTAGAACTGAACTAGAACTGAACTAGAACTGAACTAGAACTGAACTAGAACTGAACTAGAACTGAACTAGAACTGAACTAGAACTGAACTAGAACTGAACTAGAACTGAACTAGAACTGAACTAGAACTGAACTAGCAAGAAACTGAACTAGAACTGAAAAACTAGAACTGAACCTAGACTGAACTGAACTGACTAGAACTGAAACTAGAACTGAACTAGAACTGAACTAGAACTGAACTAGAACTGAACTAGAACTGAACTAGAACTGAACTAGAAACTGAACTAGAACTGAACATAAAAGTTTAAAATCACAAATTCCCATTGTCGTATTTTCCATCAAATAAAAAATAAATGCTTGTCTTATTATTTTTCTCTGGGACCATTTTTTTTCAGTTTATCAAATCTGCATATAAAATATATCATAATTTAAATACTACATTTTAATCAATATATAAACACTTGCAAGATAAAGACATTTCATTCAGTAGATTTAAATAAAAACCCAACTCAAGGTCATTCATAAATTTTCAAAACAACGAAAAATAAAACAAAATTCACCTCATTCCTCTTTATTAATGCTTTCATAAACAACGTGTTTAAATTGAGTGTTTTTCTAATACAAATCTACTCAACAATAACAACAACCACAAGGAAACATGGCCGTTAACATAGAATTAAATTCAACACACTTAAATTTATACAACAACCAGAAAAAGAGTGCTAGAGGATACAAAGTAGAAGAATTTGTTGTATTTGTATCGCAATCGTATTGTATGGAATTCATTCGTTGTACCTTATTTTGTACGTTACAATTGAGTGGTGCGTTTACTAAAAATTTGGCCCTGAAGCTTCACATACAATTCAGTCATAATTTTGACCGCCTTTTGGAAACATTAAAATACGGGTGTTTTGTTTTTTTGCAAATCAAAAGCAACTTAAGTAAAAAAAAGAAAAAAATCAAATAATTTATGGAGAATTAATACCAATAAGTGAAAAACATATTTAAAATGAAAAACGCCACGAAACAAAAATAAAAAAGTAATAATTTAAAATTTTTATAAATAAAAAAGTATTAATTAAACTGAAAGAAAAAAAATTTGATACACTTTTAAACTTAAACATTTTTTTTAACTATATCCACACTTGTAAGAAATTAAAAAAAATTAAATAAAAAACGTTTCTTAAGATTTTTGAATTTTGAAATTAAAAAGCAGTTGACCTAAAAAACAAGTGTATAAGTGTGTGTTGGAGTATTATAAAAAAAATTAAAAAAAAACATTTTTTTTTAAAGAAATGTAAGGGGAAAATGTGTCATTCTTTTCACTTACTGCTCACAGTTAACAACAGCCTTAACTGAATCTGTACTAGAAAAAACTACTCATCGTTTGGCTTTAAATTACAACGTGCAAGGATTATGTAAACATAATTTACACCATATTTTTATACCTTTTTTTATTTTTTGGCTGGTGTTTATTTTAACGTTTTCCAAGTGTTGACTTTAAAAAGAAAAAAAAAAAAAAAAAAACATAGCTCCTCCTCATTTATGTTATTTTAAATAAGTACTTATTACAGTGGGTTTATGATATTTCAATACATTCGTCATCGAATGTTTTTAATTTTCGGTTACACTTAATTTGAACATCTTATTAATCTTTCTGAAGAATGTATATTCTTTTAAAGAGTTATTTACAAAAAAATATCAAATTGTGTCGAGCTTGTAAATTTTCTGGACTATTTTTTGTTTTTTTAAATTTTTTGTTCAGAATTTTCTTTGTTCTGTAATATTTTCTTACAATTTTTTTTTAATTTTCGTTAAATTTTCTACATAATGAAATATTTTTGGTTAAATTTCATATTTTATAAAATATTGGTTAATTTTATATTTTGAAAAATTTTTTTAAAACTTTTCTATTTATACAGAATTTTTCATTAAAGAAAGCAAATTTTCTATTTTTTTTTTGGCAAATTTGAACATTTTGAATAATTTCTGTTAATTTTCGTTTCAAAAAATTATTGCACAATGTTTGGATTTTTTTTCCAGTAATTTACAATTTTTATACCCACCATCAAAAAAGATGGGGTATATTGATTTTGTCATTCCGTTTGTAACGCATCGAAATATTGGTCACAGACCCTTATTAAATTCTAAGAATATCTAGCCATGTCCGTCCGTCTTTCTGTTGAAATCACGATAAAGTCCGAACGGAATGAGTTTGAGGGTTGAAATTTTCCAATATTTTCTATAGGTAAGGTTTGTTTGGTATTGAAAATGGGCAATATCGATTGACGTTTTCGGATAGCCCCCATACAGGTGGAACCTCGAAAAAAACCTTTACGGGCATATTTGTTTTAAAAGTAAGAGTATAGTAACTGATAGTTCAGTTCTAGTTCAGTTCTGGTTCAGTTCTAGTTCAGTTCTAGTTCAGTTCTAGTTCAGTTCTAGTTCAGTTCTAGTTCAGTTCTAGTTCAGTCTAGTCAGTCTAGTTCAGTTTCTAGTTCAGTTCTAGTCAGTTCTAGTTCAGTTCTAGTTCAGTTCTAGTTCAGTTCTAGTTCAGTTCTAGTTCAGTTCTAGTTCAGTTCTAGTTCAGTTCTAGTTCAGTTCTAGTCAGTTCAGTTCAGTTCTAGTTCAGTTCTAGTTCAGTTCTAGTTCAGTTCTAGTTCAGTTCTAGTTCAGTTCTAGTTCAGTTCTAGTTCAGTTCTAGTTCAGTTTTAGTTCAGTTTTAGTTCAGTTCTAGTTCAGTTCTAGTTCAGTTCTAGTTCAGTTCTAGTTCAGTTCTAGTTCAGTTCTAGTTCAGTTCTAGTTCAGTTCTAGTTCAGTTCTAGTTCAGTTCTAGTTCAGTTCTAGTTCAGTTCTAGTTCAGTTCTAGTTCAGTTCTAGTTCAGTTCTAGTTCAGTTCTAGTTCAGTTCTAGTTCAGTTCTAGTTCAGTTCTAGTTCAGTTCTAGTTCAGTTCTAGTTCAGTTCTAGTTCAGTTCTAGTTCAGTTCTAGTTCAGTTCTAGTTCAGTTCTAGTTCTAGTTCAGTTCTAGTTCTAGTTCTAGTTCAGTTCTAGTTCAGTTCTAGTTCAGTTCTAGTTCAGTTCTAGTTCAGTTCTAGTTCAGTTCTAGTTCAGTTCTAGTTCAGTTCTAGTTCAGTTCAGTTCTAGTTCAGTTCTAGTTCAGTTCTAGTTCAGTTCTAGTTCAGTTCTAGTTCTAGTTCAGTTCTAGTTCAGTTCTAGTTCAGTTCTAGTTCAGTTCTAGTTCAGTTCTAGTTCAGTTCTAGTTCAGTTCTAGTTCAGTTCTAGTTCAGTTCTAGTTCAGTTCTAGTTCAGTTCTAGTTCAGTTCTAGTTCAGTTCTAGTTCAGTTCTAGTTCAGTTCTAGTTCAGTTCTAGTTCAGTTCTAGTTCAGTTCTAGTTCAGTTCTAGTTCAGTTCTAGTTCAAGTTCTAGTTCAGTTCTAGTTCAGTTCTAGTTCAGTTCTAGTTCAGTTCTAGTTCAGTTTCTAGTTCAGTTCTAGTTCAGTTCTAGTTCAGTTCTAGTTCAGTTCTAGTTCAGTTCTAGTTCAGTTCTAGTTCAGTTCTAGTTCAGTTCTAGTTCAGTTCTAGTTCAGTTCTAGTTCAGTTCTAGTCAGTTCTAGTTCAGTTCTAGTTCAGTTCTAGTTCAGTTCTAGTTCAGTTCTAGTTCAGTTCTAGTTCAGTTCTAGTTCAGTTCTAGTTCAGTTCTAGTTCAGTTCTAGTTCAGTTCTAGTTCAGTTCTAGTTCAGTTCTAGTTCAGTTCTAGTTCAGTTCTAGTTCAGTTCTAGTTCAGTTCTAGTTCAGTTCTAGTTCAGTTCTAGTTCAGTTCTAGTTCAGTTCTAGTTCAGTTCTAGTTCAGTTCTAGTTCAGTTCTAGTTCAGTTCTAGTTCAGTCTAGTTCAGTTCTAGTTCAGTTCTAGTTCAGTTCTAGTTCAGTTCTAGTTCAGTTCTAGTTCAGTTCTAGTTCAGTTCTAGTTCAGTTCTAGTTCAGTTCTAGTTCAGTTCTAGTTCAGTTCTAGTTCAGTTCTAGTTCAGTTCTAGTTCAGTTCTAGTTCAGTTCTAGTTCAGTTCTAGTTCAGTTCTAGTTCAGTTCTAGTTCAGTTCTAGTTCAGTTCTAGTTCAGTTCTAGTTCAGTTCTAGTTCAGTTCTAGTTCAGTTCTAGTTCAGTTCTAGTTCAGTTCTAGTTCAGTTCTAGTTCAGTTCTAGTTCAGTTCTAGTTCAGTTCTAGTTCAGTTCTAGTTCAGTTCTAGTTCAGTTCTAGTTCAGTTCTAGTTCAGTTCTAGTTCAGTTCTAGTTCAGTTCTAGTTCAGTTCTAGTTCAGTTCTAGTTCAGTTCTAGTTCAGTTCTAGTTCAGTTCTAGTTCAGTTCTAGTTCAGTTCTAGTTCAGTTCTAGTTCAGTTCTAGTTCAGTTCTAGTTCAGTTCTAGTTCAGTTCTAGTTCAGTTCTAGTTCAGTTCTAGTTCAGTTTAGTTCAGTTCTAGTTCAGTTCTAGTTCAGTTCTAGTTCAGTTCTAGTTCAGTTCTAGTTCAGTTCTAGTTCAGTTCTAGTTCAGTTCTAGTTCAGTTCTAGTTCAGTTCTAGTTCAGTTCTAGTTCAGTTCTAGTTCAGTTCTAGTTCAGTTCTAGTTCAGTTCTAGTTCAGTTCTAGTTCAGTTCTAGTTCAGTTCTAGTTCAGTTCTAGTTCAGTTCTAGTTCAGTTCTAGTTCAGTTCTAGTTCAGTTCTAGTTAGTTCTAGTTCAGTTCTAGTTCAGTTCTAGTTCAGTTCTAGTTCAGTTTAGTCAGTTCTAGTTCAGTTCTAGTTCAGTTCTAGTTCAGTTCTAGTTCAGTTCTAGTTCAGTTCTAGTTCAGTTCTAGTTCAGTTCTAGTTCAGTTCTAGTAGTTCTGTTCAGTTCTAGTTCAGTTCTAGTTCAGTTCTAGGTCAGTTCTAGTTTCAGTTCTAGTTCAGTTCTAGTTCAGTTCTAGTTCAGTTCTAGTTCAGTTCTAGTTCAGTTCTAGTTCAGTTCTAGTTCAGTTCAGTTCAGTTCTAGTTCAGTTCTAGTTCAGTTCTAGTTCAGTTCTAGTTCCGTTCTAGTTCATTTAGTTCAGTTCTAGTTCAGTTCTAGTTCAGTTCTAGTTCATTTCTAGTTCAGTTCAAGAAAATAGATACTTTGCTAAGGAATGTCACCGATATACACATTAAACTATTGTAAATAGTAAGTAGTTACTTTCCGTCAGCCCACTGTATTATTTACAAATATTCTGTCATTGTTTACAAGTTAAGAAATGTGTAAGTTAAAGTTACAACAATGTTGTAAATTTCATAAATATGAATTTTTATAAAACAAACATTACTTTTATAGGTATTTTTTGTACAGCAAAAAAAGCTACTCTTCTACTTAAATAAATATGTACTTTGACACACACAAATTTGTATATCCTTTGTCTATACTAACTACAACAAGCAAATGTACACACCTCTTTGTCTGTGTACTACTAATAGTCTACATAGACATAGTTCAATGTCTGATGTTTGACATCTATGTATTTCGGATGTGTTTTTTTTGAAAGGTCAACATTTATATACCAATTAATACAAACAAACAATCGAACAACAATAAAAATAAATATTTTTGTATAAATAGAAAAACTTGTTGTTTGTGTAACAACAAATATTGTATGTAAGGATTAAAACCTGTTAAAAATGGATTAAATACAATTTTGAATTGTTTTTTGGTAATTTTTGTTTTTGAGCTTACGAATTTTTTTGAATTGTTGGTGTAGTTACGTGCTTTGCTATACCCGATAGTTCGGAGAGATTTTACATATCATTTAGATTTATCACTGTTTACCAATGGTTGTCTTATTGATTAGTTAGTTTAACTTGAGAATATCTTAGGTGTATATTTCGATTAATCGCTCCTTTATTAAACAAAAATAATAAAATATCTTTGCAATATTGTAGATAACGTTATTTAAAGTGTCTTCTGTCCACTTCTGTGCATTATTTTGCTTAAACGGATTCTCTCTTCTAAAGCTACTGGTAATTTTATGTTTGTATCATTAGAGACTATAACTTTTTCTGTAATTGTATCTGTATATTTAAATTTCGATTTGTGTCACAGTGTGGATATAATAACGCTACTATTAAGCTGTTTACCATGTTTTAGTTAAACAAAGGCTAATCAGCTTTTGTTGTATTACGTTTTTTTTAATACACGTATTAGTGTCTTTTTTATTAAAATTGTATAAATATATTTGTTTAAAAGGATTAGGTGAGTTTGGAGAATTGCGATCTTTTATACATCAACAAAAGTATAGTGAGGAAGGGTATAACGTGTTAGGCTGATGTTTGTAGTTTATAGAAATGTCCATTATTGTATCTAGCTTCTGCAGAATGTCCTAGCGAAAATTAACATTTTTTGTCTGACATTTGCACGTAACATACAAATTAT